TATCTGTTGTAACTCACATCACTGTTGTTCACAACAACAACAACAACAACAACAACAACACTTCTGACTCTTCAAATGTTCATTCATTTCTCTCAAAGTCTTTTATAATAGAATAAGAATAATATAAAGTAATAATTAGTCCACCCCTGACTGCAGTGTCATTGAACCTCAGCTTACTATTAAAAATACTACAATTACCACCTAACACACATTATTTACCTTATTTCATCATTTTAATTCATTTTAATTCATTTTTCCATTTAGGTCCTTTAGAGCGACTGCACTGACATCAGTGGCATTCTGGGTATTTGAGTCTGTAGACAGGTAACACCGGACTGTAGTCAACTGATACAAACACTAATATAACTAGTACTACAGCTCACTAACCAGTACTACAGCTCACTAACCCGTTACTACAGCTCACTGACCAGTACTACAGCTCACTAACCAGTACTACAGCTCACTGACCAGTACTACAAGCTCACTAAAACCATACTACAGCTCACTAACCAGTTACTACAAGCTCCACTGACCAGTACTACAGCTCACTAACCAGTACTACAGCTCACTGGGACCAGTACTTACAGTCACTAACCAGTACTTACAGCTCACTACCAGTACTACAGCTCACTGACCAGTACTACAGCTCACTAACAGGTACTACAGCTCAACTACCAGTTACTACAGCTCACTGACCAGTACTACAGCTCCACTAACAGTACTACAGCTCACTGACCAGTACTACAGCTCACGTGACCAGTACTACAGCCAGTACCAGTACTACAGCTCACTAAACCAGTACTACAGCTCACTGACCAGTACTACAGCTTCACTACCAGTACTACAGCTCACTAACCAGTACTTACAGCTCACTAAACCAGTACTACAGCTCACTGACCAGTACTACAGCTCACTGACCAGTATACAGCATCATAACCAGTACTACAGCTCACTAACCCAGTTACTACAGCTCACTAACCAGGTACTACAGCTCACTAGACCAGTACTACAGCTCACTGACCAGTATTACACTTCATAACCAGTACTACAGCTCACTGACCGCAGTCACTACACTCACTTGACCATACTACAGCTCAGCTAACCAGTATACAGCTCACTAACAGTGACACTACAGCTTCACTGACCAGTACTTACAGCTCACTAACCAGTAACTTACAGCTCATCTGACCAGTATACAGCTCACCTGACCAGTACTTACAGGGGGGGGGGGGGGGGCTCACTGACCAGTACTACAGCTCACTGACCAGTACTACAGCTCACTGACCAGTACTACAGCTCACTAACCAGTACTACAGCTCACTGACCAGTACTACAGCTCACTAACCAGTACTACAGCTCACTAAACCAGTACTACAGGCTCACTGACCAGTACTACAGCTCACTGAAGAGGCAGCTGATTACTTAAAACGTATATTACAGTCATTGTTAGAACTGTAATATTAATAATAATATTAATAACTTAATGATAATACATCATAATAATTAATAATAATTAATGATAATACATCAAAATAATTAATAATAATAAACATATATTAATATATTACTATATTATTATATTTATATTAATATAAATATATACATATTATTATTATATAATTAATATATTATTATTAATTATATTAATAATAATATGTTATATATATTATTATTAATATAAATAATAAATAATTATAGTAATATATATAATATAGTTATTATTATTAATTATTATTGATGTATTATCATTAATTATTATTTAATTATTATTGATGTATTTATTCATTAATTATTAATATTATTATTAATTATTACAGGTTCTAACAATGACTGTTTAAATATACGTTTTAAATCAGCTGTCTTCAGTGAGCTGTAGTACTGGTCAGTGAGCTGTAGTACTGGGTTAGTGAGCTGTGTTTACTGGTTAGTGAGCTTGTAGTACTGGTTCAGTGATTTTCTGTAGTACTGGTTAGGTGAGCTGTAGTACTGGTCAGTGAGCTGTAGTACCTGGTCGTGAGGCTGTAGGTACTGGTCAGTGAGCTGTAGTACTGGTCAGTGAGCTGTATACTGGTCAGTGAGCTGTAGGTACTGGTTAGTGAGCTGTCCCAGTAACTGGTCAGTGAGCTGTATACTGGTTAGTGAGCTTGTATACTGGTTAGTGAGCTGTAGTACTGGTCAGTGAGCTTAGTACTGGCAGTGAGCTGTAGTACTGGTTAGTTAGCTGTATACTGTCAGTGAGCTGTAGTACTGGTTAGTGAGCTGTAGGTACTGGTTAGTGAGCTGTAGTACTGGCTTAGTGATGCTGTAGACTGGTTTAGTGAGCTGTAGTACTGGTCAGTTAGCTGTAGGTTACTGGGTCAGTGAAGCTGAGTACTGGTTAAGTGAGCTGTAGTAGCTGGTTAGGTGAGCTGTTAGTACTGGTCAGTGAGCTGTAGTAACTGTCAGTGAGCTGTAGTACTGGTTAGTGAGCTGTAGTACTGCGTAGTTGAGGCTGTAGTACTGGTCAGTGAGCTGTAGTACTGGTCAGTGAGCTTAGTACTGGTTAGTGACTGTAGTACTGGTCAGTGAGCTGTATACTGGTTTAGGTGAGCTGTAGACGGTATGAGCTGAGTAACTGGTAGGTGAGCTGTAGTACTGTGCAGGAGCTGAGTACTGGTTAGTGAGCTGTAGTACTGGTCAGTGAGCTGTTAGACTGGTTAGTGAGCTGTAGTTACTGGTCAGTGAGCTGTAGTTTACTGTGTTTAGTGAGCTGTAGTTATGGTTAGTGCGATTCTGTAGTACTGGTCAGTGAGCTGTCAGTACTGGTAGTGAGCTGTAGTAGGTTACTGGGTCAGTGAAGCTGTAGTACTGGTAGTGAGCTGTAGTACTGGTTAGTGGAGCTGTAGTACTAGTTATATTAGTGTTTGTATCAGTTGACTACAGTCCGGTGTACCTGACTACAGACTCAAATACCCAGGAATGCCACTGATGTCAGGTGCAGTCGCTCTAAGGATCCTTAAATGGAAATAATGGAATAAAATGAATTAAAATGATGGAAATAAGTAAATAATGTGTGTAGTGGTAATTGTAGTATTTTTAATAGTAAGCTGAGGTTCAAGACACTGCAGTCAGGGGACTAATTTAACTTTATTTATTTTATTATCTATTATAAAAAGACTTTGAGGAGAAATGAATGGAACATTTTGAAAGTAGTCAGAAGTGTTGTTGTTGTTTGTGTTGTTGGTTGTGAACAACGAGTGTGTGAGTTACAACAATAAATGTAGCTATCAGAATACTGTGACATCGTCCATCTTTGCTCACTACAGCCGATTACCACCATGAGTGAAATAAACTTAAAATACTACAGGTTATAAAGCTCTTAAAGTACATCATCGACCCACCGGAGCGGGAAGATCGTAGTACGTTATCGTATCTTGTAACTGCAATGTCGTGTCTCCAAACGGAACAGAAAGGTACAAAGAGCTCAGAATGAAGTGAATGAGTTTACGAAAGCTACTGATGAAATGTGACAGGCGAGAGCATTGGATGAGTAACCGACCAAACCAAAGTGAAACTCTACAGATGTGGAGCGCGCAGCTGTCGCCTCTGATTTCGTTTTTTCCTCTCACTTTGGAGACTCCGAGGCCTGTCTTGCCACTTCAAAACGCTCCTGTGAAGGTCTGGTCCACCACACAGTGTCTATTCGCTCCACTCAGGAGGTCTTGAGCTGAAACACGCACACACTTGATAAAGCCGATAAAAATGACATTATTTCACGTTATCTCTTTAGTCAGTTGCTGCTGGGGTGGCTTCTAGCCCTCTCCTGTCCCGACCTGCACACAGTCGGGTATAATTCCAGACCGTCGCTGCTGTTGAGAAGTACTGGCCTAGAGAACTGGAGCGTGACAAACTCAAAGTCCGCCAATTTTGGCACCAGTCGGCTAATCAGAATTCAGCATATTTTTCAGGAGAGCACCCGCACTCATGAGGCTGAAACCATGACAATACATATCTCTGTGAAGGTGAGAGTGTTCAATGGTGGGCAGTAATGGTATGCTGTGGTTGTGAGTCAGACACTTGATAAAATCGATTGTAACTTAAGATCTGACTACGAGCAGCTCTATGGAAACACGTACCACCGCACTGACAAATGATTCCATGAAATGTGCAGACTATAAAGGCTAACCAATAAGAATATTAGCTAAAGTTATAATGTGAAAAAAGATAAAAAGTTTAAAGTGGTTTTTGTCAGTACTCGTTCTCGGCTACAAAATAAACAACATGGAAACAATATTTCTTCATTTTCTTCAACACGTCGCATGTATGGATATAAAAAAAATAACCGCAGAAACCGCTTTTATTGCTCCCAGACAACTGTAAGAACAACCTCTGACCTCTGACTTCATATAGCCCCTTGCTGACAGTTCTACAGTCCAGGTTTTAAGGTCAAATGGAGGAGAAGAGCAGGTTGTTTTCCACCTGTTGAACACCTGAGTGCAGGTGGATCAGCTGGCATGGAGGAAAGGTTGTGACGTTGCATGATCTGCCTACAGAGCGGACAGATGTGATCTGGCTGAGTGCTCTGAGGGGTAAGCTCTTTGTTATACTGCATACATATAAGCTCTCTACTCCCTCACTCTGCATTCAGCCGCAGCGCCCCCTGCAGTGGAGAACTGCACCCTCATGCCATCTGTCGAACAGTGAATTAAATTCACGACATTAAGCATATCACCAACAGCTGGGCTTTTTTTACTCAAGCTCTCTCATTCATAATTATCTCCCTCTCCTCAACTTCATCATTTCATGACTGTCACACTATATAACTGCTATAAATTTCAATACTTCATTGTGAAACTTACATACTGAATTGGTAACGTAAAATATGTTAAGAAGCTTTC